ATAGATGATAGATAGATAGATAGATAGATAGATAGATAGATAGATAGATCGGAAAAAAACAGCAAAAGATGAGAATTTCAGCAGTATCAATAAATGGGAAAAAATCTCAGGATAGTATTTATATACTATATCTAAATTAAGCACATTACTTAAAAAGGGATGACTTAACCTGGACACACCATGACTATAATCTCAGCACTCAGGAGGTAAAAGCAGGAGGACCATAAATTCAAGGTCAGCATAGGATTACATAGCTAGATTTTTCTCTCAAAAGACTCTGCAAGGGGGGTCGGGGGGATTACACATAAATATATAAAGTAATCTGTTAATGTATTCACTTGAGAGTGAAAGCAGTCATCTCTCGCCTCCAAACAAAACAGCAAATAGTAAAGGTACCCAATGTCCCTACTTAGGGTTTCTGGTGAATTATGTGGGCTCCTATTCAACTTGTTGGAAGATAACAATCTTAAATGAAAGATAAATTATCAGATAAAGCACAACTTCCTATTGCTATACAATTAAAAGCACTTACTGTCATAAAATAAAAAGAGCCTCATGAGATCTCTCAAACACAAAAACTGCCTAAATATTGACCCCATGATGTCTTCCTCCACACAGACAAGGACTACTTCTGAATGTCCAAAATGATAAGGTAATACAGAGTATTACTGATAAAACCATTTTTCTTTAAATGAAATTTAAGTTTGTAAAATGTAGATTTATAAATTTTCAAGTGAAATTATAATTTAAACATATAACTTGCTACAATGTATAAAAGAATGTGTCCTACAAAAGAAGCTATTAGTTCAAAAAAGGAAGATGAGAAATAACTTTCAACGTAAGAGAAAGAAAGGATGGGAGAAAAGGGTATTCAAAGACTCTATAAACTTAAACAAAAAATATTGTAACTTTAATTCCACTAGTCTCCACCTGAAATTTAGTATTTCATTCAAATTTAAATGTAAGCAACAAAGCACAATAGAATGAGTAATATTTGTGATTTCATCAATAATAAAAGTTAAATGTACCTGCATATATTACAGCTGATACCCTATATAATACATAACATAGAGTCTTGATATGTTACATATGCTAGCTTTTCAAACTCCTGAGTTCAAGGAATCCTCCTGCCTCAACCTCCTTTACAACTGAGACTATAGCCTTGTATCACAATATCCAACTCACCTGCTGTACCTTGTTGTTTCATGCATTATAAAGAGCCATACTGAGGCTCAATTGCAAAAGTGCTTTCCTAATGTGCATGAGACCCTGAATTCACACAAACACACAGAAATGCATATATTACTATGTCACAAATTTTTTTATTACTAGTTCAGTAACTAGATTTCAGTAGAGTTTTATTTTATGATATGTATTTTACTGTAGACATATTAAAAAAAAAAACTGACAAAACTCCCAAAGGGAGAGTTATGATATGTATTTTACTGTAGACATATTAAAAAAAAAACTGACAAAACTCCCAAAGGGAGAGATGATACAGAAAGAACAAAAAGGGTTAAGAATTTCTCATTTAAACTGTATATTTTAAAACACAGAGAACATCCATTCTGAATTACAGCCTATTCTCAGCTAGTAGGTATACTCAAAGTTTACCAGAGACAGTTTTAAAGGTGCCAACCAAGAAAGTAAGAAATTCTATTTTCTAAATAATAAAAGTAAGTGGTGTTTGTCGGAATATACATTTAAAAACTGTGTAAATGTATTTAGTAATTGCAAGCAGGCAGCAGACTAAATTCATGTCTTTGGCAATCAAATTGCTAGAATTTTATTTCTTCACACATGCAATAAAGTTGATTTTCTATATATTTTAAAATAATAATAACTAGTAGCTGAAATCCAAGACAAATAAAAACTTACAATACCAAAATTTGTTCAATCTAGTTACTTATCCAATTGTCAATATTAGTATTATTTAGATGTTTATGGAAGATTATAAGAAGCTTAGTTTTTAAATGAGAAATAAATTCTAAAACTTATCTGAATCATCAAGTTATACAAAGACAATGCATTAAATAATTCAAGGAGAGATTTCTGTGCCATTAACTACTATTTATACATTAACTTTCAACACTGTCCTCACCTGCCCACCGGCTACAATGGCTCCAAAGAGATGCAATAAGCAACACTTAAGACTTTCCTTGAGATGTTCACTTTCCTGAAAACATTCTGTGAATATAATACACAAATGAACATATAAATAAGATTTCTATTTCAGAACATGATTCATGTCTAAGGAATGTTTGACACTGAAACATGAAGAACTATATATGAAAAGGCTAAAACTTATCAAAAAGCAAGGCTTTACAAGCATTTTGTCACAGGAAAGTAAAAGAGCAACTATCAGATGTAATTTCAGGTACTTTATAGCTCATTTAATTCTCACACTACTCCACATAAGGACATCCTGTCCCATTTATAAATAAGAACTGTAAGGTTTAAAGTTAATAATATCTGGTCAGAAGTAATCTGGCTATTAGTGTCAGAGCTAGAACTTAACCCAAACCTAACCTAAAATTATATGGATGTTTTTTAACAACTGCCTCTTCTAGTGTGACTTTAATTAGTCAATTACAAGATGAAAGAGTTAAACAAAAACATCTCCTAGATCCACTCCAAGGACCAATATTATAAGATTCTAGCACCTAGAACATGTCTCTTAATATAATAAATTATTATGCTACATTTAAAATATTCTAAATGCAGGGCTGGAAAGATGGCTCCGTGGTTAAGAATAGTTGTTGTTCTTCCCAAGGACCTAAGTTCAGTTCCTAACACCCAGGTTAGGCGGCTCACAACTGCCTGTAGCTTCATTTCCAAGTGATCTGACTGATACCCTCTTCTGAACTCCATGGGCACTTGATGTCTGCCACACATTCACACAAACACACAAATAAAAAATGAATAAATCTTGGTTCACACTTTTAATCACAGTACTCAGGAGAAAGAGACAGGCAAGTATATAGGAGTTCTATCAAGGCCAGTCAGGTCTACATAGTGAGTTCCAGACAAGGTATGTCCACACAGTGAGACCCTAACTCAAAAAAAGCAAAAAATAGCCTGGCATGGTGGCACATGTCTTTAGTTCCAGCACTTAGGAGGCAGAAGCAGGTAGATCTCTATGAGACTGAAGCCAGCCTGGTCTACTATGTAGAAAGTTCCAGGCAAGCTGGGGCTACAGGGAGACCCTGTCTCAATAAGACCAATAATAATAGTAATAATAATAACAACAATAGCCAGGCATGGTGGCGCACACCTTTAATCCCAGCACTTGGGAGGCAGAGGCAGGCGGATCTCTGTGAGTTCAAGGCCAGCCAGGTCTACATAGTGAGTTCCAGGACAGCTGGGGCTACAGGGAGACCCTGTCTCAAAAAGACCAAAAAAATAATAATAACAACAACAATAATAAAAGTAAATAGAAATGCACATGACAAAGAAAAATTAAGACAGAAAAACAAAAAAAAGCTAACCTGGAGAAGTTGCCTTTCCCTCTGATCTTTTCCTCAATCTACCATACTACCTCTACCTTAAAAAAAGATAGAAAGAAAAGGTAAAAAAAAGAAAAAGAAAAAGCTGTATAATATACAATCTTTCCTCAGTATTTGTAGGATATTGTCCCAGTATCCTTACTCTACAAAAAAAAAAAAAGAAGGATGTTCAAGTCCCTATGTAAAATGATGCAGAATTTACATATAATCTATGCACAGCCTCCTATATACTTTATCTCTACGTTACTTAGAATACCTAATATGATGCAACTGTAATATTGTATTGTTTAGAAATTGTTTAGAAAACAAAGAAGTCTATATATGTTCAGTATAGATGCAAATTTTCCAACTGAATATTTTCAAGCCACAATTAGTTGAATCTGGAAACATGGACTTCAAGGAAAGCTGAATGTATTGAATTGTATTTCTTTTGTACCTTAATTTAACACGTTTTGGATATTGGTGTATTTTAACAAATAATCTACATTATTTATCTTTTTTACCAGAAAGCCACTACAATAATGAACATTTCTTTCATGAGTTCTTCCACTGAGCTACATCCCCAGCTTTCTCTAACTGGTTCCCTACTGACAAACTGTTATGTTTCCCCATCTTTTGGGGGAGGGGTGTGTACATGTGTATGTGTTCTTGTATGTGTATGTTCAAGTGTATGTGTATGTGTTGGTGCATGTGTATGAGTATGCATACAGATGCTTGTGCACATGGGTGTGTCAGCATGTGGAGACCAGAGGTGAATGTTAAGTGTCTTCCTCAACTGTTTTACACCTTATCTGGGGGACAGGCTCCTTAACAGAATCTGAAGCTCACTAATTCAGCAAGACTAGCTACCAGCAAGCCTCAAGGTCACAGACATGTGCTATACTGTGTGGGTGCTGAGGACCCAAACTCATGTCCTCATCTTGCATAGTAACCACTTTACTGACTAAGCCACCTCCCTAATCCTTCTCGTTTCTTTTAATAATTCTATAATGAGTATAGTTTTGCATGCATTACATATTTATACAATACTATAACAAAAGTTTTCCAACTTTATATATAACACTACCAAAACAAAGAATTTTAAAGTAAAATGTATTGACAAATTTTTAATTAAAAAATTGTAGCATTCCAGCTATGCTGGAATAACTGGCATTATACATGCTTTCCGGCTTTAAACAGTACAAAAATAGACAAAATGGGTTCCAGAAATTGGGTCATAGAACCAACATACAGGAACACATAGGAGAAATTTGAACTCAAGGATCGCTTCAGATTTCTTTTGGGAGATACTTTCTGGACTACTATCCTGAAAGGGATTCCCTAAAAGACCAAAGCTAAATCTAAGTTCAAAAGCCAGAAATCAATGTTTGGAGAGGCTAGGCAACTAGAACTTGTGAAGCAGAGTTTTAGAATGGAAGAACCTACATAAGGTGCTCCAGAGATACATATAGGACTTGCTTTGTGTCTGAGTAAGAATCCTCATAAAACTATGTGAAATTCCACAAGATAAGCAAAAAAACTACAAAGATGAGGTAAGCAGAATAAAGTCCCACTTAGGTACAGGTGAAACTTAAGAAAAACAAAAGCTTGCTAGGAGGCTCAGCGTGATAAGCCTGATGACCTGCATTCAATCCCTGGAACCCACATGGAAGAAAAGAACCAACTTCTCCACTTAGGCAGTGGGCATGTACGTGTGTGTGTGTGCGTGTGTGCATGTACGTGCACACACACACACAAATTTTAAAAGCTTGCTAGGGCAGTTATATTAATATCTGAGAAAAGTATACAATCAATATCATAGTAAGAAAGAACATTTCATTACCAAAACTGGACCATGTTTTCTAACCATAATGAAACTGTATTATAAAGTAGCAAAATAAAGTTATCTTGGAGGCCATTTTCATGAAGATTGTACCAAATGTGAAGAAAATTTCTATCCATCCCATCCAAAGTCGGAGCCAAAGTAAAACCCTTGGAAAGACAAGAAGGCAATGTTGAAAGGCACACTGGGTTACAAAAAATTCCCCAACTTACCACTTTTGGTTACCCAAGACACTCCTGGCAACCCAAGTGTTTTCAGAAATGTTCCCCAGAAGAAATAAGTTTGATCACTATGCCATCATCAACACCCTACTACTAAACCAACCATTAAAAATAAAAGAAACCCAGTAACAAATTGTGTTTCATTTGGAAGTCAATGTCAGCAAGCATCAGATTAAACAGATTGTAAAGAAGATATATGAAACAGAAATGTGCAACTCAACACCTTGATCAGCCTGATAGAAAATGGCATACGTTCTTTTTACTTGGGTCTATATACAATATTTTGGACATTATGTTTTAGAGGTTGTCAACAATACTGGGATCATCTGATTCCAATGAACTAACTTTAAATACTGTCATGCATTACATAACATTTTAAGAAACAAGGGACTGCATATGCCATATTAGTCCAGTAAAACGATGTAGAGGTGAAAAATTACTATCTTCTGACATGATACTCCTTTTCTATCACAGTGTAACACTTACTCATGTTTGTGGTAATGTTGATGTAAACAAACTTGCTATGAAAGAAGTTGTACAAAAATATAGCAGACAAAATAAACATATAGCAGACATAAATATGCACAGTATACAATACTTGGTAATGACAGTTGAAGGATAAATGTCTCAGCTTGGAATGTCCCAGTTAAGAAACCCCCAGCCCAGAAATTGGATGAAACCTCAATCCCCCTAACTCAGTGACTGTACTGTACTGCCTGAGAAAATATGCCAACACTTACTGTCCCAAGCACCAAAACCATAACACTAGCACTTATTGTCCCAAACCCTCAAGCCATAAAAAAACAGAACTGCAGAAAAATACCCCGTCTTTCCTTCTTCAAAGCTCCATAAAAATGCAGACCAACTATGCTTCAGTGCCACAGTTTCACACAGAGAAACTATGATCCTTCTTTGTTCTTAATAAGGAACAATGAGGGGTCTCATCTTTCATTTTCACATCATCCCAGTCAATACCAAACTAACATTTTCTAACAACAGTGACAGTAACTGCTCTATGTGCTATTCTATACCATTTATAGTTATGTTAGAGTACACCCTCCTACTTATTAAAAAAAAAAAAGTTTACAGGAGTGGGTGGCACATGCCTATAATCCCAGCACTCTGGAGGCAGAGTAAAGAATGGATAGGAGATCAAAGCCTGCTTCAGCCATATAATGAATTCAATTGAGGTTATCCTGGGCTAGATAAAACCCTGTCTTTAAAAACAAACAGGGAGAGTATGACTTACATATGACCACAGGATGGGCTGACTAGACTCCAGTGAATGCATTTATACTGAAGGACATTTGAGTACAAACACCTGAATGACTAGAACTCACCATGTATGGCAGAGTGCATAGGTTAGGGGGTGGGGTGGAGGGGGATGGATAGGGAGGGGGTCTGGATGTGAGTGGAAATATTGTATGAAATTTTAAAAGCTCAATAAAATAAACAAACAAACAAAAACACCAGCAACATGTTACTGAAAAAGAGTATGCCATATTTCTCAGGCAGCAGTCACCTACATCTTCTGTTTGCTATATCTATTGACTGGATATAGGTTTGTACAACTCAAACTGCTAAATGATGAGACCCCCTAATAACACATTTCTCAGAACAAAATGTACTGCAGGACGA